CTTGAAGACTACAATTGAAGATAATGAGGAAGAAGTTGTCTATAGTCCACCATTGGTTTCTACTACTGATCTCCCGGTGGAGTCATTTGTTTCAACTGCTTCTCCAAAGTCACCAACACGACAAGCTGATCCAGATGTTGATGCTACTCCTCTAACTCCATTTGAAAGAGAATTCATGAACCAAGATGCTTCCGATGTCACTCAAAATCTAATGGAACCAATATCCTCTATGGACACAAGCCATCTAATTCTTCCGCCGGTACATCTACCGTCGATTCTTCAACACATGATGGAGCCATTAATATCCATAATCTTCCTGTCACTTACAATGACATCAATCACGAAATTCCCTCTCGCATACAGCGCGATCATCCGATAGACAACGTCATTGGCCAGTTGAGTGACGGTGTTCGAACTAGAAGCCAGAGTGGAGATGTCAACACATGTCTCTATTCTTGTTTTCTTTCTCAAATAGAGCCCAAGAAAGTCGAAATGACTTTGAATGTGCCCAGCTGGGTTGATGTCATGCATGACGAGCTTAATCAATTCGAAAGGCTTGGGGTTTGGAAGTTAGTGGAGCTCCCTAAAGGCAAGAAATCTCTCGACACTAGATGGGTGTTTCGGAACAAGCAAGATGATTCAGATTTAATTGTAAGAAATAAGGCAAGATTGGTGGTTCATGGGTTCAGACAAATTGAGGGTCTTGATTATACAGAGGTTTTTGCTCCAGTTGTGTGCTTGGAGGCTATCTGTATCTTCCTCGCTTACGCTTCTCACATGAACTTTATTGTATACCAAAAGGACATCAAGACAACTTTCTTGTATGGCAAGATGAAGGATGAGATTTATGTTGACCAATCCCCTGGGTTTGTTAACTCCAAACTTCCTAATCATGTCTACAAGTTAGACAAGGCTTTGTATGGATTGCATCAAGCACCCAGAGCCTGGTATGCTACACTCACACAGCACTTGCACGACCATGACTACTCCCATGGCACTATCGATCAAACCCTATTCATCAAGCATGTTGGTTCAGACAAGATTCTTGTCCAAATATATGTGGAAGATATCATCTTCGGGTCGACGAGTCCTCCGCTTTGCAAAGAATTTTAGGACGTCATGAAAAAGCGGTTCGAGATGAGTTCATTGGGGGAGATGACCACGTTTTTGGGGCTTCAGGTCAAACAGTATTCAGCCAGGATCCTTATTCATCAAGCCAAATATGTGGACGATATGCTCGAGAAGTTCGGGTTCAGAGACGCTAAAACTGCTTCGATGCCTATAGCGAAGAGACTGTTGCTAACTCCAGATCTTGAAGGCGAATCCGTAGATCACACGTATTACAGATCAATGATTGGATCGTTGATGTATCTGACTACGAGTCGCTCAGACATTATGTTTGCGGTCTGTCAATGCGTGCGCTACCAGGCTAATCCTAAACTGTCTCATCTTACTATTGTTAAAAGAATTTTTCAGTATATCAAAGGCAGCCCAAAATTGGGTCTTTGGTATCCGATAAGTTCCGAATTGGACCTTTACGCTTTTGCAGACAGCAATTATGGTGGTTGCGAACTTAACAGGAAATCGACTTCAGGCGGATGTCAATCTCTTGGAGATAGGCTGGTGTCTTGGCAATGCAAGAAGCAACATACTGTTTCGACCTCAACAACAGAATCAAAATATGTAGCTGCATCTGCTTGTTGTTCTCAAGTCATATGATCCAACATCAGTTGTTGGATTACGGTTTGAATTTTCAAGAAACCCCTATATTATGTGATAATGAGGTTGTGATCCAAATTGCTAAAAATCTAGTTCAGCACTCAAAAACCAAGCACATCGACATCAAAATTCATTTTATTAGAGAATGTTATGAGCGCTCGCTCATTCGGCTAGAACAGATTCGCTCTGAAAATAATGTAGCGGATCTGTTCACCAAGCAGTTTAACAAAGCTCGATTCGATGTGCTGGTCAATGTTTTAAAAATGATTCACTTTGAGGATTAATCTTTGTTTAGGATAGTTTAAATTTGCACATTTTATTTTTATTCTCTTCCATGCACAAATTTAGGGGGAGAAATAAACAAAAACCAAACAAAAATTAGAAAATTAAAAATCCAAAAACATTAGAAAATTAAAAATCTAAAAACAATAGAAAATTAAAAATCCAAAAACAATAGAAAGTTAGAAAATCCAAAATCAAAAATATTTATGTGTAATGATGTGTTGGGAAGTGATATCAAAAGGTGATAACAAGCAATCTGGATCTGTGTAAAGTACCAAAGCTGAATTGTCTAGGCTCTGTGTTCGATGCGCTAGTAGGCACGAAGAATTTAATGGACTTGACAAGGTAAAGATGAACCTAAGAAATCAAATGACTTGAGAAATCTTGACCTAGATAGATCCGTTTAGCCTAACAATACGATGCTCGGATAGGTTGAGCAGGGCAATATACATGAGAATCCACCAGTCACACTAAAGAACCCGTATCTAGAACTGTGGTTTTACTTTTCCTCGATGTACGGATTGTGTCCTTAATTCCAGTATTAATGGAGCGACTGGGGGATTCTGATAAAGTAGGTTTGTAGAAAATTATTTTCTTTCCATCTTACTATTAGTCATATGTTGCCTCCTTTAAGTGATTGGAAGAGATCCGACCTGGACTGCAACATATGCAAATCTATTTCTCTGCATATTATATCTATGATATTCTTCCTATCTGTTAGCCATATGTTGTCTCCTTTGTGTGACTTACAATCCGACCTGCTACACAGCATATGCAACCTTCTACTTCTCAATCCCTCTAAAAACTATAATTAATAATAATCTAAATCTATCATCTCTATGAATAATAGTCTGCTCACCTAAAGTAAGGAGTATCTCGGAAGTTCTTGATTGTTGGGGTATATCAGGAAGCGGGAAACATGTTCTAGTACATCTAAACTTGAACAATTCTAGATTTTATGTAGATCTCGCTGCTCAACTTAGGTGGACAACAATATCCTTGGTCGTCGTCAGATGAATGGTCCTTAGGAAGTTTTATCTAGGAACATAGGATCAAGTTGTCTTGTCACTTATAGCATGTCCAAAATTTGTCACAATTTTTCGTGTTTAAGTGGACCACAATACTGGCGATCGACCAGATTTATTCATGAAAGGGGAGTTACTGATAAATTGAAAACGATTTTCTAACAACTTTGATCCCACATCACAAAAGGTTAATCAATTTCCAGTTAGAGGATTAAAGTTAGTTTAGAATTGAATTTTTATTATTATTATTCTTTTATTTTGTGTCAGCTTATTTTATTTTTATTTTTTATTTTTAGGAGTGATATAAAAATTTTCGTTTAAAATTTTAATCCTCAAAATGATTTATTTTTGGAATTTTTTTGAGTATTGGGCTTGGGATTTTATTTTAATAAAGAAGGGAAAAGGAAGCCAAAGGATAAAGAAGTATATAAAGGGGTGTACGGTTCATGCTTGGTCACTGTTTATTGATTTCAAAAAGCAACCGCACACACCTCTCATCTTCTCTCTCTCGAAAATCAACTCAAATCCTTTATTTTTTCAGAAATTGAAGCTTGATAACTATAAGAACTACTAAATCGACACCCTCAACATGATTTTTATGCAAAATCGATCAAGAAAAGATGGTTAATCGAGGGTTTTTATTCCCGATTGTGTGTGTGCGACCGCACACGCATGTGCGGCTGGACCGTGTGCGGCTGCATACTTCCTTGTGTGGAGCTGCATACATCCTTTGAGTTATAAATCGTGTGTGCGTCTGCATACTTCCTTGTGTGCGGCTGCATACATCCTTTGAGTTATAAATCACGTGTGCGGCTGCACACATCCTTTGAGTTATAAATCGCGTGTGCGGCTGAACACTTCTATGTGTGCAGTTGCACACATCTACGTGTGCGGTTGCACATTTCATTGTGTGTGGCTGACCATGAACAGTTGGAATAATTGTATGACTATACACTGTGTGTAGCTGCACACTCTGTGTGTGGATGGATATAGGTGTTTGGTTGTATACCCAAAATTGACAATTTTTTGCCGTAATGTATGCTTGTGTTTTTTCAGATTAACATGGGAGATCTTGAATTTTCAAAGGTGCACAACTCAGTAATCTTTCTTGAAAATCCTCCAGCTGCTCACAATGATCTAAAATTCGTTGTTGAAGGTCTTAAGAAATGTTGTTTGGTGCATGCTTTGACGACTAGTCCAGTGATTTATCAGAATTTGATCAAAGACTTTTGGAGAAGTGCAATCATCAAGAAAGATGACAAGGAAGAAAAGTATCTTGAAGCAACTATACAAGGAAAGAAGATTCTAATCTCAGAAAGTGTTATTCGAAAATCACTTCAAATCAATGACATGCCTGAGTATTCTATGGAAATCGACGTGTATCAAACCCAAGACATTCTGGACCACATGGGGTATGAAGGATCATTTCCTCCTACCATCAAGAAACTACTTCCTCCTTGCTGGAAATATTTAGCCCATGTATTTGTGAGCTGTATTTCCGGAAGGAGATCAGGACCAAACAAAATTTCTCTGTTCAACACTGGAGCCATTACAACCTTGGGTTCAGGGATCGAGTTTAATTTTTCAAAATTTATCTTGCACAAATTGATTCTAAATGTTGAAGGAAACAAGAGAGACAAGTTTTTGATGTACCCGATATTTCTTCAAATTATCTTCAATGTCATGCACTTTGAGCTCAAAAGAGGAAATCAGACACTGGATCTTAAGTCTGTTGGTCCAAGTGCTTTTGCATTGATGAAGCAGAAAAGGGGTGGAAAGTTCGTTTTTGAAGGGAAATTCCCTTTAATAAGATTTGGAATTTTTGCTGAAGATAGTAATCAATCAGATTCAGAAAATCACTCTAAACCTACAGAGACTAATGATGTTGTGATTTCAACTTCAGAGCCAGAGATTGAAGAAGTTCATGATTCTCCTATAACAATAGTAGCATAGGAACATAATCGTCTACACAATATGGAAGTTGAAGCACAGTTTGTTCATGAAGAAGGCGATGAGGATCTTCATGAAGATGTTGATTTTCTGAAAGATATAGAATTTACTTGGATCAGTGATGATCTCCCTTCGAGCATTGAACTCAATCTTGACGATGATGATTTTGGTCCATTTCCGGGGTTTGACAACAGGTGCTTTAAAAAGGTCAATGAAGTTGCTCAACCAGCAACCAAGACTGGGGAAGACGTTAATGCTCTCAAAAATTTTCTCTCCTCTTCCAAGCCTATGGAGGGCTCTTCAAGTCAAAGAGATGTGATTTCAGAGATTCCTCCCTATGATTCAACTGTCTCTACTTCTCCTCCGCCTTTGAGTGAATCAACACAGACACAAACCTCCCAGTCTCCTTCGAAAAGAAGTCGATCAGATTCAAGACTGGGAGTGCCCTCTATAAGCCAAGCACCACCAATCTTATCCACTTCTACCACCACTACTGTCACTACTACCACTACTACAGTCTCTATTCCACCACTACAGTCAAAAGAAGGCCCGAGCACAATATTTGAAGCAGGTGGTTCATCCTCTATTCCAGAGTATTCTCCTACACGACCCTCGCTGGATGAAGCCTTGATTAGATTGGCCAAGCACCTTGCTCAAAACAATCCAACTTCTTCCTCCCGAGGTAAAGGCTATCTTTCGGGGAAGAGCATTCAGGTGATGACAAGACTTCAGTGTCAATACTTCAGGAAGAAATTGGTATTCTCAGGAAAGAACTTATAGAGAAGAGCATTCTACTAGAACAACACACTTCTTATATAGAAGAACTCAAAGAAAGAGATGAAATGAAGACAAAACAGATTAAGGATTTGCAGACAAATCTTGGCTCTATAATAGCTTTTTACTTCAGTTTGAAGAATATTTTGTATGATGCCTTTGGTGATAAGGTTAAAGCTTTGTTTCAACAGCCGCACGGAATTGAAGATCCTCCCGTGGATCCCACCCAATATACTCATGATGATTTTCCAGTTGATCCACCTCCTCCAAGAACAACTACCATTGTTGATCGGTTTGATAAAGAACCTGAAAACAGCTGATCTCGCATTACAATCAAGCAAGGGAAAAGGACCGTCACTGCCAGCAAAAGCGATGGGTTACTTTTCATGAAAAACTAGAATGAAAATCGCAAAGCTAAAGATCCTGTGTTGACTGTGACTGATCTCAAAAAGCGAAAGTTTGGTGACGAGTATGGAGATCGATCCAGAATCCGAATGTGGGCTTTTGATCCTGAGTCGAACATGTGGGTTGTAAAGAGGAATTCTGGTGTCCCTGAGTATTACAAAAGTGTTCATGATTTTAACTCGTGGACTAATGTGGATCTTGCTGAACTTTCAAGAGCCCCATTCCATAATCCTTCGGAAGATCCAAGCGCAACAAATTCCAAAAGATTTCTTGACAGGCAGGTCAAGGAAAACTTCTCAAAAATTAAAACTGCAAGAGCCTTATACAGAAAAGATAAAGAAATTTTAAATCTTGAATCAGCCAAGCCCATGAACATTATCCTATGGCCAACAACGAAATAGCAGAAGGAAATTCCTATCCCTCAACACTTTCATGAAGGATACCTTGATAATATGGAATTATGAGTGTATGATGATGAAACTGCCATTGCAGCCATAAAATTCAAGGATCAAGAACAAGTTTTAAGGATGATAAGTGCTAAGGATCTTCTAAGATTCATAGAAAGATATATATGTACTCTGTCTCGTCACCAAATCATATGCCGAAAGGATGTCGTGGAGGCTGCTGCCAAAGAATATACTAGAATGATCGCCACAATCATTGATGAGAGACTTTGGATGGGATCCATAGGAAAGTCAGATATGAATCTGTTTGAAAAACCCTCAGAATGAAGACCAAGTCTATGCTAGCCTCAAACACAGGGGGAGATTGAAAGGCTATAGTTTTGTGGTTTGGGCTAGGCATTCTTTTGTATAGAGCTTGATAGGTTGATGGAGTAATAGTGTAGTGGTTTGATGGTAGATTGATAGAACTGTCTGTGTGTGTGCGGCCGCACACACCGTGTATGGCCGTACATGTGTGTGCGTGTTAGAGTCGAAATGTTGTAATAAGTCGAAATCTGTCTTTAGTATCTTTGAACATTTTTGTAATGTATTTTACTAGGGCATAATATTCGAAGCATCATGTTTAGTCCTTAGTATATTTTTTTGTAAGCTTTCATCTCCTATAAATAGGATTAGTTACTAGTGTCTTAGTAACGAAGTCTTTACAGAATTTTCACTTGTACTCTGTAAAACTGAAAAAGCGTAATAGAGCCAAACATATCATATTTACATCGGTGTTCAAATCTTTCAATCTTACATTGAATTTACATTCTAATTCAATCAACACTTGATACTTTGTCTCATCAACTGGTATCAGAGCAGGAATCATATCTCTGATCTGATTTACACATTGTTCAAAAAGTTTTTTAATCAACTTTTTGATTCAAAAGTTTCCACACTTTTTGAAAGTGAAATATTGTTTAGATCTAAGTCTGTGATTCGATTCTACAGTTAATTCATTTAATCGAGTGTTCGAAGAGTGATTTTGATTTGAATCATATAGTTTGTTGTAAAATTCTCAAAGTTTCTTCAAAAATTCTCAAGGATTTATTCCGTACATCAATGGCTTCTTTCAATCTGAATTCCATGACTTCATTTTCTCATCTCCTTGGATCATCCACCAAAATTCCTATGGTCATTTCTGAGTATTATGATCAGTGGGCTGATAGTATGGAGGATTATCTCAACGGATTGGATGAAGAACTGTGGAATTGCATTTCTGGCAATCTCAAACCACCGTCAAATGTTCAACCAATTGGTTCTTCATCTAAAAATTCTGAAGTTGAGAATCAATCTGATCATCTGAAAAAACTGTAGAAGAGGTGTGTAAGAGAGCTAAGAGGAGCTTTGCCTCCAGTTGTTTACAACTATGTGAGGAGTGGTACAACTGCAAAGGAAATCTGGAACAATCTCAAGGAAAAATTTTAGGGAAGTGAGAAGACAAGAGTTAACTCTATGAAACAATGCTTAGTGGAACTGAAGGACCTCAGACAAAAAGATGGTGAAACTATTGAAGTTTATTACGATCGTTTTAATGAATTGATCTATCGATGCAATCGATATGGAATCACCAGATCTGCCATGGAGTTCAATCTTATTTTTGTTATGGGACTTCGTAAGGAGTGGCGTAGTGTGAGCATGATGGTTAAGAATCAACAGAGCTTTGATACATCAACCTTGAATGATTTGTACAGTCAACTGAAGACTCATGAAAGCGAAGTGATCGAAATAGCTGAAGAATCGAAGGCTAGTTTGGGAGGTCAATTAGCTTTGGTTTCAAAGATCTCCGAAAAGGGATGCTGAGAAAGATGCTTCTAATGAAGATGAAGGGTTCATCATGAACTTAGATGATGAGGCAATTGCTTTTTATTCAAACAATCGTGTGAAAAAGTTTTTCAAAAAGCCTTTTAATTCGAAGGTAAAGTCGTCTGAGATAAAAGGGAACTTTCTAAATAAAAGTGTTGGGGAAGAGAAAAAGAAGGAAGAGATGAAAGATACCAAGCCTGTTGAGGGAAACATTTAAAAGAAGCTAAAGGGAGATGATGGGATTGATTGTCATTATTGCAATGGTACCAATCACCTTGCTAATGACTACATGCTTCAAAAGAAGAGTGAAAGAAAGAATAAAGTCAAGGATGAGGCGTACTATGCTGAGAAGTTGGAGGTGGTTCGTGCTAAAGCCAAAAATTTGTCTCTAGTTGCAAGGGGTGCAAATGACGATGAAGAAGGTACTTATCAAATCTGGTCATCTGGATAAGATGATGAGGAAACGCGAAATTGTAACAACCCATCATTTTAGGTCATCAAAGATCGAGTCTTGTAACCTCTTTGAAAAAGGGATTAGAATATCATCGAAAAATGAAGTATTCAAAAACTCTGTTTGGAGTACGCTATGTAGTAAATATCATCTTAAGGTTTCCAAACATATAAGTAACACAAAAATCCGAGTTATAACGAAGAAGTTATGACCATTCTAAGTTTTTCCGACAAAAATCGGCGATACGAAGTTACGTAAAAACGCAAAGTTTCAATAAAACACTTTCTGACCTTAGGTGTCTAAATGAAAGTCATAGATATCGTTAAACTACAAACGTGCATAAAAAGAACGCTCAAATCGGACATCGTCTGAAAAAGTTATGAATTTTTAAAGAAATTCCTTAATCACGTCATTTTAATAAATAAATAATAAAAATAATTTCGGAATTTGCCGACGGAATCTAAACGAAAGTTATAGATCTTAGTCTCACCTACGCGTGGATATAAAGAACGTCGAAAACGGAGTTTATATGAAGGAGATATGAATTTTGAAGTTTGATAAATAATTAATATATATTTTTATTCAAAACTTCGGTATTATCCGAAGTCTGAGTCACACAAGTACGCCCCGCGTACACGAGTACGCCCAGCGTACTCAAGGCCTTGGCCTCGGATCGTCCACGTCGCCCCTATGCGAGCCTACCCCCCGTCCCATCCGAAGTCCGAGGCAGTCGAGGACTCGGTCATGCGTGACGTACGCGTACGCCCCGCGTACCGAGGCGGTTCCAGCCTCCTATAAAAGGGATGCGAGGGTTCCCGGAAAAATTGCTCATTCTCTCTCACTTTTCTTGCGTTTTGCCTCGTTTTCCATGCTCGCACTACCCCGAAGCCCTGGTCATTTTGTGCAAGTCCCGAAGGTCGATTTTACTCCGAGAAATCCCGAGAAAATCCGCTTTTCAAGCCAAAGTTCTGCTCGATTTTCGTCACACCTTCTTTAATCAATCAAGTGAGTTCATACCCCTTTCAAACACACTTTAAATACATTTTAAATGCTTTTATACTCTATAAGGGGGGAATACAAGTAAACATACGGTTATTATCGTGTATTTTATAAAGTTTCACTTCACTTGTTTTTATCGAATAAATCACTTGTAATTCCTTACTACTATGGAAAACTCTTGTCATACTTTGCGTGCATTAGACTTATACAAAGTATATAGTGATTTCAAAGTACCTTTCGTTGCTAAGTCGTTTTATACATTCTAAAAACTTATGATTTATGCTTTGTCAAACATTGTGAAAAAGGATAAACTTTGCATACAAAACTATCACTTTAATACAGACTTAGTTGAGAATCCATGAGACGTGTATATCTTCAAACACTACTTTCTTATTAGAAAGTAATGCCGCAAGTCCTGTCTATAACCAGAGTCTCCCGTTAGGAGAACGTGTCAAATGTGTATAGATCTATACGGGAAGTCATGATCCCGCGCCCTGACTGTTAGCTACAGTCCGTCCTTTGGGGTGACAGTTGTCATAACGCTGCGACGCCTGAAGAACGTCGTTACAGGCATATTATGTTTAGTATGGTTATAAAACTCATCGGATATACAATTATTATGGTATTATGCTTTTATGAACGAGTAGCTATTAAAACTATTCTTCATCTAACAAATGCGATCTTCGTATAGCTTTATTATATAAAACTATGACACAACTTTTAAGAACGTCGGTTGCTTACGATTTTCGGTCTTAGAGACTGTCAGTTATGTTAGGAAAATAAGGGTTTTTCCTGTATACAAACCAAACAACTAATAGGAAAATAAGGGATTTTCCTGGTGCAATTATTTACAACTTATAACACGAACATTCATATGCATTTCATACTTTTATAAGAAAATAAGGGTTTTCTTGGAAAACACAACAATTCATACTCAACCATTAGGGAAAATATGGGATTTTCTGGATCTAATACATTCATTTACAACACAACAAACCATAACTCTTTACATTTGAAATACTGCGTTTTCTGGAAAACATACACGAACTTTCGAATGGCGTACATTTTCTCAAAACACTACTCATGAACTCACCAACTTAATTGTTGACACTTTCTCCTTGAAATAACTTGTATTCTCAGGGAACCGCTAAGCAGGTTTGGAAATCAACTTTTGGGATTGACGCGCTGGCGTTAATTACTTCTTTTGAAAGATGTT